CAGACTCAAATATCACTGCCTTGTGTGAGTTCCCTCTGACTCTTCCAGGCCTCAGTGGAACAACCCCTCTATTTTTTCATAATGATCTGTTTTTCCTCCTCACAGCACTTAAGTAAAACCATTAACGCCTGTGAAGTCCATTTCCTTCTTATCTATTTCCTGCATGTTGTAAACTCTATGAAATCTTTGTCTTCTCGGTGTTTGTATCCTCACCTCTAAAACCGTGTCTAGCACACAACAGACACTAAATAGATAGCTGTTGAATAAACCCGTTCCCAAAGCAACTAACCACATCTGGCACATAACAAGAAACTGATAAACGCTGAACAGCACCCAGTCAGCCTAACCTCCTGATTGGCAGACAAGAACCATGTCTAGAAAGCTGGGCAGCTTATTCATGGTCTCCCTGTGTGCTAGCCGTCTCCACTACACAACGCTTCTCAGCTCCCAATGTTCACAGCAGCCTTCTAGGGACTCAGCGAGGCACTGTGCGACAACGCAGGCTCTGATTCAGGAGCCGGAGGTTTGGTTTCCCTTACAAGCTTTCTGGCAACACTGCTGCCAGGCAGACCATGCTCTGAGCAGCAAAGCCCTACACCATCCTCAGACCTGTCAGGGCTTGTCATGACTACAGGTGTCTTGACCTGAAAACTCTCCATAAAAACAAAATTCCTAACAAAGCGCTCTCTTCTGGGTCAAGCGCACAAAATCCAGCTGATCCTCATTATTCATGGTGGTTCTGTTCTAGAAAATAGTTGTGAACATGGGATTAGCTCATGCTTAGTTTGTTCCTACGGCTAGGTTCCCCTGAGCCGGTGGTCACATTTTCATTAACCCACTAATACATACCCTTGCTTTATGCTTCTGTGTGAACATATCTCAGGTCACAAGTTGTGTGCTTTTTCTTAAAGGTTTATTTATTTTTATTGGAAAGACAGATTTACAGAGAGAAGACAAGGATCTTCCATCTGCTGGTTCCCTCTCCAAATGGCCAAAGTGGCTGGAACTGAGCCAATCTGAAGCCAGGAACCAGAAGCTTCTTCTGGGTTTCCCATGTGGGTACAGGGTCCCAAGGCTTTTGGCGATCCTCCACTGCTTTCCCAGGCCACAAGCAGGGAACTAGATGAGAAGTGAAGCAGCTGGAACAAGAACTAGTACCCATATGGGATCCCGGTTCTTGGAGGTAGAGGGTTCGGCATTGAGCCATGTGATTGTAACTCGTGCTTAAACTAAGCTTTTCCGTCACATGCATTTTCTGTTTAAGGCATAGCATGGCCTTCTCATGCTAACCACCATCAGATAGCACTGTAACACCAGACCACTTTAGCCTATGAACTCATTAACAAAAAGCACAGAAGTTTGGAGAAAAGAGGTGGTAGGTAACTCATAAAACAACACTGCTGGGGTCAGCACCATGACTCAACAGGATGATCATCTACTCTGTGGCGCCAGCATCCCATGTGGGTACCAGTACATTTTCCAGCTGCTCCATTTCCCTAACAGCTCCCTGTTTGTGGCCTTGGAAAAAAGCAGAGGATGGCTCAAAGCCTTGCGACCCTGCATCTGCTTGGAGACCTGGAAGCAGCTCCTGACTCCCAGCTTCTGATTGGGATAGCTTTGGCTGTTGAGGCCACTTAGGGAGTGAACCAGCAGATGAAGACCTTCCTCTCCATCTCTCCTTTTCTCTGTAAATCTGCCCTTCCAATAAAAACCAATCTAAAAAAAAAGATATTGCTGAAAGCAACTCCTATTTTTCATCCCTTAATGCAGGTCCTAGTGACTATGAACATTTTGCATGCACCAACCCTAGGGTCACCAGCAGATTTGAATGATCAGGTAAGCGCTCCCATAAGGAAAGCATGAATAGTAAGGATGGGCTGTATCTCCTTGCAACATCCAGGGCTGTGCACACTTTACAGGATTCCATGCCCGGGCTCCCATTTTCCTTTCTCACACCCTTGACACCTACTGTTAGCCTATGGAGTGCCCTTACACAAATCACAAGGCATTCTTTCCTCTGGGTAGATGCAAACGCATGCCAGAATGCTGACTGGTAAGTGGAGTGTGGCTGGAACCTACCTGTGGCTCACATCCCTCTGCCAGGTGCACAGGGCATCACCTGCCCCAAACCCATGGCCCATCCCCTGATCACATCCCTTCTTGGCCTTCTCTATGCTTCTCAGCTGAAATGTTCATCTTGCAAATGTCTCCTTCATTGGAGGAGGAGGACCAGAAATAAACAGTCAGAAGAGCAGAGTTAGACTAAGAGAAAGAGAGGGATGGCTTCTGGCCCCCCTTGTCCAGCGTGTGGTTCTGACCTGCAGCTGATAGGCCAGGTCTGCCTGCGCCCGGCGGGTGTTGACCTCGATGTCATAGGCAGCCTTCTTCAGCTCATAGTCCCTCTGCGCCTTGGCCATCTCGATCTCACTCAGGTACTGCGCAGACACCTTCTCCTGCTTGGCTTTAGCTTCCTGTCCACGCAGAGAGAAAGATGGACGAGTGCTCCCTCCAAGAATCCCTGCCTTCACCCTAGACCAGAGCAAGCTCTTTCCCCAGCCAGCCCGGCCCCACCAGCCCCCTCTCTCCCTTTCCCCACTGGGGTGTGCCCAACAGGCCCCCAGGGATTGAGCAACACCCCCATCCCTCTCACCCGGATCCCAGCATCTCTCTTGGCCTCAGCTTCGCCTATACGAGCATCTTTTTGAACTTGAGCCGTTCGAGCCTTCCCCAATGAGTGCAAATAGTCCTGCAGGGGTGGTATGTAGAATCAGGGGGTCTCAAGAGAGGCGAGCAAGGAGCCCCAGAGGGACCAGCAGCCTGGCCTTACCTGGTCATCGTGAATGTCCTTCAGCGTGTAGCTCACCACACTGATGCCCATGTTCACCAGGTCTGACGAGGCCACTTTGAAAACTTGCTCTGAGAACTTCTGCCTGTCCTTATAGATCTCCTAGGAGAATGGGAATTGGGGGGAACTTTAGCTCCCAGATCTGTCATGTCTCACACACTTGGTGGGACCTCAGGACCCATTTGTTCTGCTTCCCCATTCCCAGGCCCACCTCCACGGTCATGTGGGCCATGATGGCCCTCTGGTGGCCTTCCAGTGTCTCCAGTGCAATGTGGGCGATCTCGGCCTCTGTCTTCCCCAGGAACATCTGGCAGGCAGCTGCCAGCATCTCCTTATTCTGCCCCTGGATTTTCACCTGCAGCCAGATCAGGGACCAAGGTGAGGTGGATGGAGGTGCAGGAAGCCAGAGAGAGAAAGGGGGAAGGGCTTCCCAGAGAAGGGGTAGATGGGAGCAAGGGCCAAGGCCCCTGGGACAGGGAGCCTGGAAGAAGTCAGACTGGAGAGTAGTGGCTGAGATGGCCAAGGCCGGGAGACTTTGAATGTCTGGGGAAGAGGGGACGATGCAGTGGACTCAAGGGAATGAAAGGCTCTGAGAGCCTCACCTGGGCAATGCCAGTGACTGAGATGGGGACCCCATGGCGGGTGTAAACCTTTTCACTCTTGACATTGAGGGTCAGTGTGTTGAGGGAGATCCTGAGGGGGAAAGAAGGGACAGACAGTAAGCAAGGGAGGAGAGAAAGAGACAGCGAACCAAGGTTCTCAGGCTATTCGGGTCCCACCCACCTCTGGATCTGCTGGATGCAGGGCAGGACAAAAACGCGGCCTCCAGCCACCATGACTGGGGGACTTCGGCAAAAACCTGCAAGGCGAGGGCAGTGAGTGGCCAGGGAGCCTCTGCGGGCAGGACAGGCATCTCAAGGTACAGGATGAGACCCAGAGCTCAGCCTGGGGTAGCATGGGCTTCGGCAGGGGCAAGATGGGTGTGACAGCGAAGTCTCTGGTGGTCTCCAGTCACCATGACTGAGGGGCTTCCGCAAAAACTTGCAAAGCAAAGGGAAGTGAGCGACTGGGGAGCTGGGGCAGGCTACTAGCCTGAGGAGCCAGCTGACCCAGAGCAGGTCAGGAAGGCAGCCTGGGCTTGGGCAGGGGATAGTTAGTTGGGCGTGGTAAGCGAGTCTCTTGTGGCCGTCAGGGGGCAGAAGCCTGACGCTGGGAGCTGGCAGGGAGAGGCTGAGGGGGCGGCAACTAGATTCACAGCGGCTGAGACGGAACAAGGGTACTTACCAGAGACCACCATGGCCTCATTCGGGCCACAGGTGAAAAACATGATTCAAGAGAGCTGCAGGAGAGGGAAGAGAAGGCCTTTGCGCACAGGGAACGCGTGCTGGAGTAGGGGTGGCGGCACGGCGCGAATCTTTCATTATCAGGCCTGCCTGTCCCTTCCGCACCCCTAGGTCCGCTAGGGTTCTTCCCTATGCAACCCCGAAAATTCCCAGCGACCCCCTCCCCGCCGCTTCCGGTCACTCCTTCCCCTCTCTTCCCCAACGCCCCGCGGCTGCGGACTCCACCTCTCCTTCCCGACTCACCTTCCCGGTCGCCCCGGGAGCCGAGCAGGGGCCGCTAGCGCACGGGCGTCCCCGCCAGCAGGACCCTCCAGCCGGCCGCGCCCTGCTGCTGCTGCTGCTGCTACTGCTGCTACGGCTGCTGCTGCTACTGCGGCAGCCGCGAGCCCGCCCCACGCCGCCGACCCTCCCCCGGGCCCCGGCCTGCGCGCACGGCCCGCCCCTTTCCCGACAGGCCCCGCTCGGAGCGCACCGGGCGGCCCGCCCGCTCCCTCGGGTCGCCTTGCTCCCCGCCGCCCTTTCGGAGCCCGAGGCCCTCCCCGACCCCGGCGCGCTCCGCCCCGTGGGGAGGACGAGATTTCCGCGTCTTAGCCAGCCGGCCCCGGGAGGAAGCGGGGTTGCCACACTCGGACTCTACCGCGGGTGACAGGAGAAACCGCAGAGCCCGCCGCCAACGAACGGCATCCGGCGGCCGGTTCCGTGATTCTGGGAAGAGGGGTTCGGGGAGGTGGCCATTTCCTTCCCTAGGGCCCCTGAAGGCGGGGCGGAGGGGAAGTCGCCGCTTGCCGAAGGAAGCACACTCAGAGGATCCGTGATGGTCAGTTAGGTTTATTTGTGTTCACAGAACATACTGGGCGAACCCGACAGCCGCCCCTGGCAGCCCACAGACCCCCGATCCTGCCGCTGCCCCTTAGGGGCGACTCAGAGGAGGTCGAGGACCACGAACTTGATTCCCAGCAGTGCCCCCGCAGTCTTGCGCCAGGGACGCGCAGGGTTGAGATGCCGTGGGTTGAGATGTCACCCACGAAAGCCATGACCCATCACCACCACCCCTTCCTCCCACTCTCCCTCCACCTCCACCAACCCCACCAAGTTCAATAAATACAGCATATTCATGCCCTGACATTTCTACAGCAGAGGGGCATAATGCTGCGCCCTTGCATAAGTTAAAACAATAAATATTACATACATCCCTCCATCTCCCAGGAGGACATATATAAATACATATTAAATAGGAGTTAGGAGCAATGAGAATTAAGTTAACGACGCTCTCCTGCCCCGTAGAGGCGGCCACGGGCTGGCGCCCCGGCTGTGTAGTGTAAGAGTTCGAGTTGCCTCGGGAGTCCCAGTTTGGGATACGCTCTCATGCACCAGCTACATCTGGTGTTGGTTGGGTTTTTTTCCAATTGTCTTGGGGGACGAGTCCTTAGAAGGCGGCTGGATGTTGTTGGAGGAAAGTGCTGAAGTCCAAAGCGTAGTCCGAGGGCTCTGAGGTCAGGTTGAAAGGCTCTAGGATCTGGGGCGCGGGAGTAGGCTCAGGAGACTCGGCGCTGGGGGCGTCCTGCAGCTCCAGGGGCGTCGACACACCTTCCTCAGCCATCAGGATCTGGCAGAAGATGATGGTGAGCAGCACAAACAGGAGTCTCTTGGCAGGATTCGGCTCTTCCGCGGGCAGCTGGCGCCGGACCTGAGGGTAGTCATAAAAAAAGACAGGTCAGGTCTAGGCTGACTGGTGCCCAGTGTAGCTCCCCAGGCGCACCAGGGCGACGGCGCGCTTCCCCCAGCGTCTGTCCACTCGGGAGACACTCACCACTGCTCGAGGGTAGAGAACCCTGCGGCTTCGCTTCTTGTACCCGCGAGAGGCGATGGTGCGGGTGGCCGGTGCCGGAGCTGGCTCCGGGAGAGGATCAAATGTGAAGATCTCGGGCCCAGAACCCCGCCGGTGTCCTGGGCTGGTGGAGGAGACAGGCGTCGGAGCTGGCCGGATGGTCATGCTGGGTAGGGAGCTGCGAGAATGACACATCGCGGTGGCTGGAGTGAGGAAGGTGAGTGCTGGCCGGCAGGGCGCAGGGGTTCCTTAAGTACTGTCCAGGGTTGGGCGGGTCGTGGTGACTCCTCCTCCCTCTGCTGGAGAGCAGTTGGCTGGTGCAGCTGGAAATTCCGACGATTAGGCAAAGAGAGGGGTGGAGACCTGGCCCGTGCAACCCTCAGAGCCGGAGAGCACGTCCTAAATGGGGGTTGGTGAGGCCCCTGGGCAGCAGGCACATGTCAGGACATGTGGCAGCTTTAGAGCGGACCACAACAACATAAACTATGGTTCAGCCCCAGCTCCATCACAGGCCATGCCCCTGGGGAGGCAGGAAGGGCTCCTCTCAGGAGGTCTGTCCACCCTGCTAGAACACTGACCCAGCAAGCTCAAGGAACCACGGGTGCACATGCACCATCACACACCTGTAGTTTGTGTACATACATCTGTAGGTATGCATAGAGACACCACAAGAGGCAAGTCATCACAGAAACTGCCAAGAAAACCAGGATACACAGGGCACAACAGATGTGTTAAGTGTCCGTGAAAACATACCCGTGTGCTTACCATGTGGGCACATACATGCATACACGCAGCACATGCACACATATCATGTACTCCATGGATACATAACACAACACACACACACACAGAGCAAAGGTGCAGGGTTGCGCAGGGACCATACAGCAGGTCCGCTTGGATATGTGCAAAAATAGTCATACTGGCTGGGGCAGAGGAACACAAAGGCCAGAAATGAGCAGCCACCCAGCTCTGTGTCTTGTTATATGGGTCACTTAGCAAAACCTCTGAAAACAGTTTTTAGCGTGTGAGACATTGTATCAATATTGCAGTTACATAGGTGCTTAAGACAGAGTCTACCCATTTCCCTGGCTTCCTCAGAGACAGCTGCTCCTGGTTACAGCTTGTAAGGCCTTTGGGACACTCACCTGGGCCAGCTGCCCTGTGAAGAGGGGTGACGTAAGTGTCAGGGCTGCTGAGAGCTACGAGTCAAGTGAAGCTGGCCCTTCAGTCTTGACAGAAGAGACCATAAGCAGGAGAACTCTCTAGAGAGTCCAAAGGAAGCTGTTTAAGGGCACCCAAAAGAGTTGGTGTTCACAGCTGTCTCCTCACCCAGGCAGAGTGACATTAGTGGTGACCTTGAGCGGTGAGTGGGCTATGACAAATTCAGATGTGGAGGATGACTGTGAGAAAGAGAATGGGATCAGCAAAAGCCTTGGGCTGGAAAAGTACAGGAAATGTTTGGGGAATCGCAAGAAAAAACAATCCCAGATTAAGAAAAACAATCCCCCAGCAGTGGGGAGCCACAGTGGCGGGAAAGGAGTCCAGCAAGTGGGGAGAGCTTCCCTGGCAGGCTGGGAGCCTGAGCGTAGAATTAGTGGGATGAGATCAAAGGACAATTCCACTTGGGAATTGATTGGGACCAGGAGGAGTATTCCTGGAAGAGGTGATGGCAGGGGGCTGTGAGGAAGGTTCAGGCAGAGGAGCAGCAGGCCTTCGCGGATGGCTGTCAGAGTCCTAGTAACAGATCTCTAGGTGTCAGCATGAGGAGGGGACATGGAGGAGCAGGGTTTGCGACAGCAGGGTGAAAAGGTCAGAAAGGGCTTCAGGGTCTGAAGTGTACCTGGCCTTGAGCTTTTTGCCATCGCTGTAGGCCTAGTGTAGACTGAGTGTACGTGTTGTTCGGAGACAACCCAGCTGGGTGCCTTGGAGGCAAGGTTGCTCAGTGAGATTTTGGAATGAAAGATGAGAATGCAGAAGGTTGAGTGCACACGCTGGCTGAGGTGCCTCAAACTTCCGACACATGGATATGCTCCTGTAAACTCGCATTCCAATCTACAATGTCCTAAGGAAATCTGGGACAATTCTTACACAGACAGCAAATAAAAAGCCCCAATGGACACGGCTCAAGCAAGGGTGTATAGCAAGGCATAGAAGGAGACAGCTCTACAATCTGGCTAGAAACAGATACCCCATCTGTCCACAGCTGTTTTCTGGGCTTATCTGTTCCTTCGTTTTGTATCCATTACTCTTTTCTAAACATGGGAGACTCCTTCCCTATGACATAGCTCTCCCAGGCAGGCGTGAAACACACTTCTTCTGTAAACAAAGACACATCTCTTCCCCACCTCTTGTCTCCTGCCACCAGTCCTGTTTTCACAAACAAGCACATGGAGCCTGCACATACACTTGCATCCTAATTTAAAGGCCACTTGCCTACTACGCAATGACCCACGCAATTCTCCACACATGTGGACAGAGGCATACCTTGCCGGTGGGGGAAGATAGCGATGATGGAAGAAAACTGATGGGTGGGAGAGAGGGGGAAACACCCAAGGTCAAGGAGGCATAATTTGTTTATGATGGAAAATTTCTGCAGGCATTCGGCAGGGGAGGGGAAATGCAAGAGATGTCGGGGTCCTGCTGGGCCACTACCTCCCACATCTGGAATCCGGGCCTCCAGCTGGTATTGGTTATTCTCACTGTCCTCCAGACACAGCGAGACCTTTCTCTGTGGCAAGATCAGAGCTGGAGAGAGAAGACCCAAGGTACTCAAACTTGCAGCCACTTCTTCTCACGCAAACCCATGCCCACTCCCAACAACCCCAGGTGCCCCGGGCCCTGCCACACAGGAAGCCAGGGAAAGGTTGAAAGTGAATCATTAAGCCAATGAGGGGGTGTGGAGGTGGGAGAGGGGTGATGAGTTAAGGCCAGGAAGTGCCAGGGGCAGCATTCAGCAGCTGGACTGGCTCCCACTGCCCTCATCCTAGGGAAAGAGGCCAGCACCCTGCAAGTGCCAATTCTTCACTTCATTTCTCTGGAGCCACCTTGATCCTTCGTGTCCCTTGTTTGACCTGTGGTCTTGACCTCCTACCCCCCTTATCAGTCTCCCTTGTTTGTTTTGTCATCTTCCACTTACACATTGGGGAGTCATTCTGTGTATTTATTTATCATTGGCTGTTGTTTTCCTTCCAGTTGGAATCTAGCATCTATGAGTGTTCCTGACCCTACCTGCCCTTTTCCTCCTGAGACCTCTGTGGGGTTCTCAGCCTGTCACCGCGCAGGGGCTTCAGCAATCTTCATAAATCCATCTCCTCCTGGGAGCTAATACCCCAGTCCTGGAGATGTTGGCTTCTCCAGCTGGCTCCCTTCAGAAATCCTTGCCCTCCTCCTGCAAAGAGGAGGCTGCAGGCTGAGTACTTGGTGATAGACTCAGGAGCAGCTGAGCAGGCCAAGGAACCTGCAAGTCCCTGGCTGGGGGTGAGCCAAGCCTGCTCCGCCAGCACGGGTGCTGAAGGGACTGGGATGTGGTGCGGACAGACCGGGCAAGGGAAATGGACATTGGGAGGCAAGAGCTGCTGCGAAGGGCAAGCCGAATGGTGGAGCACACCTGGCAACAGGTAAACACTCAGTAACCACTTGTTGACTGAGGTGGGTTTGAGCTGCAAAGGAAGCCAGTGGCAGCAAAACACAAAACAAAACAAAGCATCCAATAATCTAGAGATGTTGGAGGAAATAGAGTTTACATTCCAGATCTGCTACTCATTAACTCTGTTATTAGATCAGTTACTTAACAGCTCTGAAAATCTATTTCCTTAATTGACAAATGGGCCAATTGACCTTTAGCTTCTTCTTCTTTTTCTTTTCTTTTTTTCTTTTAAGATTTACTTATTTTTATTTCAGAAGCAGAGTTAGAGAGAAAGAGAGAGAGAGAGAGAAGGAGAGACAGAAAGAGAGATCTTCCATCTGTTGATTTACTTCCCAAATGGCCACAACAACCACTGGTACAGTCTGAAGCCAGACTCGGTTCCCCCACCACGCCCCGATGGTGCAGTGGCCTGAGGATCCCGGGCTATCTTCTGCTGCTTACTCAGGTGTGTTCGCCCGGAGCTGGGTTGGAAATGGAGCATCTGGGACTCAAACTTGTACCTATATAGCATGTGAGTGCCGCAGGCAGAGGCTTAGGCTGATATGTCATGGTGCTGGCCCCAAGCCTTTAGGTTATTTCAAGAATTAAGAAGATAGGGTCTGGCACGGTGGCTTAGCAGCTAAAGTTTTTGCCTTGAATGTACTGTGATCCCATATGGGCGCTGGTTCTGATCCCGGCAGCCAAGCTTCCCATCCAGCTCCCTGCTTGTGGCCTGAGAAAGCAGTAGAAGACAGTCCAAAGCCTTAGAATCCTATACCCACATGCAAGACCTGGAAGAAGCTCCTGGCTCTTGGTTCAGATTGGCTCAGCTTGGGAAGTGAATCATCAGACAGAAGCTCTTCCTCTCTGTCTCTCCTCCTCTCTGTATATCTACCTTTCCAATAAAAATAAATAAATCTTAAAAAAATAATTAAGAAGATAAACAGGGGTGGACATACCTGAGTATACTGTTAGAGTCCCAGCTCAGCCTCTGGTCCCAGTTCCCTGTTAACATACACCCTGAGAGGCAGCAGATACAAGCTCAAGAGCTTGGGTCCTTGCCACCCAAGTGGGAGACCAGGATTGATGTCTCAGCTCCTGGCTTTAGCCTGGCTTAGCCATGACTGTTGCAGGCATCTGGGAAAGTAGCCAGCAGATGGGACATTTCTTTCCTCTCTCCTGTTCAAATAGCTTTTTTTTTTTCTTTAGGTTTTTGTTTTTTTTTCCCAAAAAATATACATTTTTAAGAATGCAGTATATGGGGACAGGCATTTTGTGCATCTCCTGGAGTACCTGGGTTTGAGTGCTGGCTTTGATTCCAATCCCTGCCTCCTGATAATGCACATCCAGGCAGGCAGCAGAAGATGGCCCAAGTAGGAGGGTTCCTATCCCCGAAGCAAAAGACCAAAACTGAGTTCCTGGCTTCTGGCTTTGGCCTCGCCTGGCCCCTGCCATTGTGGACATTTGGGAAATGAACCAGCAGATGGGAGATATTAAAGTCTCTCTTTTTTTTCTTTCTTATTTATTTATTTGAATTTTAGGTAATGTTTACATGGTTGATCAGGGTGGGAAGGATCCAGGGTTAGGGAAAAATG